ACGTTGGATTTTATATGGAATTGACATTTCATCGCATATCGAATATTTTCATATTAGTCACTGAGCTATGCTTGAAGCAGTAAACAAATCTTAAGAAATGAACTTTAAACGTTCAAGCCAGTCTCGAATATACCTACACAGTAGGTTCAATGGACTGACGCCTATCAGAAAACAACTACTCTCCCACTCCCCTGGCTAATACCACGAAGGGCGATGGATTATATTCGACAGGCGTCAGTGCAGGATTCTTCACAGACAATTTCCTGCATATGCAATTGGCAATACAACAAGTTCATTTCTTTAGATTTGTTTACTGCCAGTTTCCAAGCAAAGTCCACTGAGTAATAAGGAAGTTTTTCTTTCTTATTCAGAGGAGAGGATAGCAGCGAGGGCATATTACGGATATGCAGTTCGTTAGTACCTCGTCCACTAGATGGAGTAACATTTTGTTGTTCGCTCCAACTTAGAAAGAGGAATGAAATACTCTGAAAGAATTCCGATCTTCAATTATGGAATATCATTGACTTTAGGTCGCTGATGGTCACTATCTCTTGTACTGATGAGTGGCTAATGAGTCCGAAACCGGTCTGCAAGTGTGGCCGTTCCAAACCTGAAGGTCGACTCTTTCAGTTGTATTGCCAATTGCATATGCAGGAAATTTTCTGTGAAGATTCCTGCACTGACGCCTGTCAGATATAATCCAACGCCCTTCGTGGTATCAACCAGGGGAGTAGTTGTTTTCTGATAGGCGTCAGTCCATTCAACCTACTGTGTAGGTATATTCGAGACTGGCTTGAACGTTTAAAGTTCATTTCTTTAGATTTGCATATCGAATAGATAATATCGTGATCTATAAAAATTTCAATTGAATTTTCCTGTGGAACGAACAGAAAAATGTACAACCTTTTCACGCAGCCATCAGTCAAAGTAATTATTTCTTTTATGCTCCGATGATAGAATACCAACACTTTCAAATATAAATCATTCAGAGATAGATATATTCGAAGCAACTAACAACCTTTTAAAAATCAATTGTTTGTTCAATTTGTATAGATATTTTTTATTTTATGTTCAATTGTCTTCCTACAAACATATGAATGAAAATTTGTGAAATGGTTTATCCGTTAATTAATATAAATAAATTTGTGTTGAGTGGAGAACGCTTTGAATAAACCGGTAATTCAAAAGTAATCATAGAAAATGGTCACATAAAAATATGATAATTGTATACCCACTTTCAGTGGGTTTTGTTTAATGTTTAAGATTCAGAAATCGAGTGGTTACGGATATTACCAGATTTGAACCCAATTCTGCGGTCTAGTCTAGTCTATTCGGATTGAGTTGTCCCATTGGTTCCATGAGCAGAAATACTGGATAGAAAAGTACTTAAAAAAACCGTACACTTGGTGAATAACAAAGCTTAAAAGAAACTCAGAGTAGAACTAAGAAATTAATGTGAACCTGAACCATCACCTGAAAACAATTGTAAAGGTATATCAACAAGTGAAGTCAATATCTCTACAAATATTTATTATTTTCTGTCGTATATCCATATTGAAGCAGGTTTCGTTTCGTACACATTTTGCTTCAAAAAGCCCCATAAAAAAAGTCGAAGGTGTCAAATCTGGCGAGCGGGGCTGGCCATTCTGTAGGACCTCGACGGCCAATTCAACGACCGGGAAAAGTAGTAGTAGGAATTGTAGATAAGAATATTTGATTTGATTCAAAAATTTTTCTAAGCATTCAGGAAAGCTCCACTAGCAAGTGAATTATTTTTCGAGTTCATATCTATTCTTGTAGAACCGGTACCTGCAGATTCTAAAGAAACTAACTATAATGAAATACGAGGACTATTACAAAAATAAGGTGAATATTCAAATTCTGTTTAGCATTTTAAGTTTGTTGGTGAGAGGCATAAACGTCCTCAAAAACACCTGGAATATTGACAGTGGCATCGGTGATTGCACTATGAGTCAGAAAAATGTTAACAAATGGTACAAGTTTTTCACAAAAGATGGAGAAGACGGAATAACGACACTGGCGCTGGCAGCACCAAAACATTGTTATGGAGAATCGTCAAATCGCTAACAGATAAGTTGCTGAGGATGTCGGCATATCGATTGGCTAATGTCATGCAATTTTTTCTGAAATTTTGGGCATGAAGCGTTTGGTTGCGAAGTTCACCCCAAAATTGCTGAATTTTGACCAAAAACCCATAGCATAAGCATCGCTCAGGAATTGTTGAATGACGTCAACGGCGATTCAGATTTGCTTGAAAGGGTCTTCAACAGGTGACGAATCATGGGTATATGGTTATGTAAACGAAACCAAAGTCCAATCGTCCCAATGGAAGAGCTCAGGAGAGCCGAAAAAAAAACACGGCAAGTTTGATCGAATGTCAAGGTTTTACTCATTGTTTATTTCGATTGCCGTGGCGTAGTGCATCAGTAGTTCTTGCTACATAGTCGCACGATCAATAAGGAGTATATTCTAGAAATTATGCGCCGCTTCCGAGAAGAAATACGGAGAAAACATCCAGTATTGTGGAAAAACAATTCATGGCAGAACCACGCTGGAATCAATCATCAGTGCAAGAAAGATCCGATCCAAACAGGACTGTGCCTGAGACTTGACTGACTTCAATGCGACTCAACTGTATATACTGTGTGAAAGCCAAATTGAATAAATTCATTATTTCGGTTATGGTACATATTTTAACAAAATCCTGAAACACGTCAAATTTAAATTGTAATTTGACATACTTCAACGGAAAAAAGCTACCCCTGCCTTCAACCCTCGTTAAATGACAGGCACAACCCCCAGTTTTTCAAATGAGAAGTGTAGGCTTGTGATGTATCGTTTGAAAGGTCTCTTCATTTTTTATTCAACAATGTTATCGCTTTCAAGTTTATTGCAACAATGAAGGTAAAATAAATTAAAATCACGTGGTTACCGAAATTCGATAGAATACACTCAAAACTTATTGCAATATACTCAAAATTTATTTCATGTTTAGGTATTGATAATAAGAAAGTAAGCAAAAACCATAAAAATGTTATTTTTAGATGATATCCTTTGAAAAATGTAAATAATTTCCGTGGCAACGTTAGTTTAAAACGCATTGTCAACCTGCTTTGTATGCTACAACATTAGTTGTCAGTATTTTAATTCAAGTTTAAAGTTAATTAACTTCAAGTCTGACAAATGGTTAGATTAATGAATATGCATAAAATAACAGTTTTAAAAATGACTGGTTACAGAGATGAAACCCGATCACAACAGGAAGTAGCTCGCCTATTTCATGGGAAATTTCCTAATTTACCGCCCATATCTCAACGAACAATAAGCAAAATAGAGAAGCAGTTTCGCGAGCTTGGTCATGTGGGGCAGATAAAAAAATCAGCTGCCAATGCAATGAGTGATGAACTCCAATTAGATGTGATGCTTGAGTTTGGGAAAATCCACATACATCGAGTAGACAGGCATTCACTACATTCAATGTTAGCCATACATCGCTAGTAAACATATTAAAAGAAAATGAAATGCATCCCTATAAAGTGATACCTACTCAGGAGCTCATGACGATTTTGATAGAAGAACTTATTTTTATGAGCAAATGATGGACTTGGTGGATAACAATATCATCCAATTAGAAGACGTTTTCTGATGAGTGTACTTTGTCTCTTAACGGCCATGCTAATCGGCAAAATTTCCGCTACTGGGCAACGGAACATTCTCACTGGATGAGAGAAGAACACACGCAATACCCTCAAAAGGTTGATGTTTGGGCAAGGATTGTAGATAATCATAACATTGGTCCCTTTTTCATCGAGAGCAACTTGAATGGCGATAGTTATTTGGCACTTCTTCAAAATTATGTCATTCCAAGTTTAGCAAATTTATATCCTGCTCCAGGAAACCTTCAAGTTCCAGTGAATACGATATGGTTTCGGCAGGATGGAGCATCACCACATTACCAAGTTAATGTCAAGCAATACCTCGATACAACATTTCCCAATCGGTTGGGTCGAGTGAATGGCCTGCGCGATCACCTGATCTTTCATCATTAGATTATTTTATGGGGATATGTATAGAACAATGTGGACAAAACTAAACCTTCAGATTTAAATGAATTAGAAGAACGACTAGGTCAGTCACGCCTGATATGTCAAATAATGTTAGAAGACAGTTTTATTTGAGATAAGGATGTTGCCAAGACGTTCGCGGTGAACATTTTGAACATCTACTTCGTTAACATCTATAGTTCTTTTTCGTATTCTACATTTCATTACGTTTTTATATATCACAAACCTATACGTCCCATTTAAAAAATTGGGGATTGTACCTGTCATTCGAAGGTGATAGATTGTAGTACTGGCATTTTTACGTTGAAGATTGTCAAATTATAATTTCATTTGACGTGTTTCGGGATTTTGTCAAAATATGTACCGTAACCTAAATAATGAATTTATTCCATTTGGCTTTTACACACTGTATGAAAAAATACTATCAAATAATAAAAAGTGCATCTCGTGAACAAAGTCCCATATGGAGAAGAAACATCCCATGTATCTATACTCAATGCTTGATGTCAGTTTTTACACAAAATTTGATGCAAATTCTTTGATCCGTTTGTTTCGGTAGCAAAAAATTGCCGAACACGTGAAACATTCTAACTTTAAGCCTCTCACCAACAAACTAAACATGCTAAACAGCTGAAACTGTGATTATACTATATTGGAAACGAGTGTCCCAACATGAAAAATAAAAATTGATAATCGAATGTACGACGTCCGAGAAATTTGAACATTCACCGTGTTTTTGAACAGACTTCGTAATCAGTAGAAAGCACAAATTACAATGTGGCGATCGTTGTAAATACATTTTTTACATATTTTAAGTACCACTCTAATGTATATGTTTGAAATTGAAACTCTTTGTGCTGTGCACCACTGCTATTATTTTATGTGTTACAATTTTCTTCAAATAAACTCACTCACCTGTTGCCACATCAGATCGTGAAACTCCGTCGAGAATAATGAAGCCACTATCATGTGGGCAGTACACAACATGCAGCCAAAAACTGCTGCCACATACGACTTCAGCGGCATCATAGCATAGGCTAAAAAAACCACGAAAATCACTTGCCACGTTCCTTCTGCAGCTACTTTGGCAGATGAAGAGATGGGGTAGAATGGCAGTGCCAGAGCACAAAAAGTCGCGAGAAAAAAGAGCACCACGTAGCAAACCCAAAGTAGGTAAGCGTCTTGCATGAACCTGAAACAAAATGATGAAAAGTTTTAGATTGATCTTCCATGACTGAACAGAGTGAAAAAATTACAGTATTTTGAAACTGTATAATATGGCGAGTATAGGATAAAATTTATGTGAATCAAAATGAATGTAACATTTGAAACTACTGAGTTGATATATGTGTCATTTCAATATTATTGAAAGTGTTTATTATTATACCAGTCCCTGGTCTTATCATATGACAAGGGACTTGAAAAAATCCACTTTGATAAAAGTGGGTTGTGTTACAATAAAAATTGACCTACAAGAATCGTAATCCTATTCTGATGGCTCACTATAGTTTACCAATTTTGGTAATCCCTTCTGTATTATTTCTGAGCATTACCCAGTCATACAAATTGAGCATAACCCTATGTTTGAATACAGAATACACATTCTTCACAATAATGTACATTAGTGTTGAGTGATGTAGTGGGTTACGTATGTGATTATTCTCTTATATGTTACCATAACATGCATAACATGTTGGATTAACCCTGAAATCATTTGTTCAGGTGGAAAGAGTAGTGAAGGCGACTATAAAATACTGGCTTTGATGCATGGTGAGGATTCAGACCCCACCTGGGGTCAGAATTATTCAACGGTGTTCCAACGGAGCCTCTTTGTATTCATGAAGAGAGAAAAGATTCTACGAACGACGAGGATAATCATGGGATAGGAAGTGTCCGAAATCACAACCAACCAACGATGTGGAAGAGCAAAGAAGGATCTGCCGAAGCAGACAGATCAGCTTGACACCAACGCATACTATCTGACTTGTAGATGGGGGAGGGAATGACGCCTGAAGAAGAGGTGAGAAACACGAGCAGTTATGGTAAAACACTGAGATATCTTGAATGTAGACAATGAAACTGAATAAAATACAGGCAACATTTATAACTGCACTCATGAGTAACCAGAATGTGTGGTAAGAAAAGTTGCTCCGAAGATTGGAACATACTTCCGTAGGAAGCTAAAATTGGGTATATAGTTGCTTCTTAGGTCTTAGATGCGCACTAAGATTTTCAAATATTCTAACTGGGTCGCTACCAGTGGGGGTAAAAGAGGACGTTTACATTTGAAAATTATCTTTTCATTACTGTTTCTCAATACAGCTATGCGGAGGCTGAATTTTTTTTGTTGGTTCGTTTTATGTTGTAGATGTGGATGAAAGAGGAGCGTTTACATATGAAATTTACCTGTTTATCAGTACCGCTATATTTTCGGAGATGAAATTTGGTATGTGAGTTCTTTTAATGTTGTACACATGCAATTAGATAGGATTTTCAAATATTCCAACTGGGGCGCCAACCGGGGCGAAAAAAAGGCGCGTCCATAAATCACAATTGTTATTTCATCCCTCTTTCTCCATACCGATATATTGTGGAGGTTGAAGTACCGGACCAATTATATGTCGTTCTTTCAAGAGTGACCTCCAAAGAAAACATGTCTACTGCGTAATAACTGCCATTGCAATGGTTAGAGTAAAATATTATTTTATTCATAGAGATCAAGGTGGATCATCCGTTTCTTCGGTGTCGATATTTTTCCAGTTGAAAAAGCGCAGAATTACTTTACGACTGTCGGACCTTTGAGCGTCGTTGTGGTCATGTACAAGTTGGGCTAGACTGAACAGATTTATATATTACATCATACGCTTAAGAAAGTTAAAAAACGCTGAGGTGAGATTTTTGTGGCCAGCGATGCTGACACGAGGGCTTGAGAGTTTTTGGGAGAGACACAATTAGTCGGTCGCCGGAGCTCATCGAGACGAAATCAGGGGTCTCACCCCTCAGCCTTCGAGGCTGAGGAAAGTGCCTAAATAGGCGAGTTATTTTGTTTGTAAGCGCGTGGTGCGAAATTTAAGGGAAATCGGTAGTGAAACTATAAACTGTTTAGCTAGAGTTCAGATTTCAATTAAAAAAGAAAGCAAATTTGAGGTTTTATACCACTTTCTCTGGAGTAGAAGTGAAACTGAAAGTATTTTGTACTAAGTTAGTGCGTCTGTAGTGGTTCAGCAGGTTAAATTAATAGTAAGTAGCAGGGTAAAATTGGCGGTAAAATAACGATTTGGTGTTGGGGAAAAACTCCAGTAATATTCATTACTACACCAAAGGTTCCAAACAGTGCATCATAAGTACTCTTTTAGTTTTGTTCTCATGGATCGTTTGGTGGTTCCGATATATACTTTTCCACAAGTGCACGGAATGCGATAGACCCCCGCTGCTGATAATGGGTCACTTTAGTCCTTAGCCGACCTGAGGCTTTGTTGTATCTTCCTCGTGGGTTTGAAGACTGTTTCGATGTCGTGTTTATCCAATAGTTTTCCAATTCTATCCGTGACCCTAGGGACAAACGGTAGATATGCGCGTGCAACCATCTGCTCCTTTTTTGCTTTCTGAACCGTGGTGCCCTTCGGTCTCATGGCTCTTCTGGTCTCAGAGGCACTGCATCCATTCGATCTCAAGGTCACTTCCAGGTATTTCAGTTCCCTCTCCAGATGTTTTAGTTCACACATTCTCCGAGCCCGTTCCGTTAGATTGGAGTTAACTCCTCTCTTTTGGCTAGGATGGTGGTTCGATAGTGCGTGCAAGTATCTATCTGTGTGTGTGGGTTTCCGATACACTTTGTGGGTTAGTCTGGTACCACATCGTTCTACTAGTACATCTAGGAAAGCTATCCGTTGGTCTTGCTCAATCTTCATGGTGAATTCTATGCTCGGATGTTGGGCGTTCAAGTGGTTTAGGAAACGGTTCAGGATGTCTCTTCCATGTTTCTAGATGACGAAGGTGTCATCCACGTAAAGTAGCCATAAAGTCGGATTCAATTCAAAAGTGTCTATCGCCTTCCCTTCAAACCGTTTCATGAAATAATTAGCTATCACTGGGCTAAGTGGACTCCCCACCAGATGGCGTTGGGCAAACACGACATCGAAACAGTCTTCAAACCCACGAGGAAGATACAACAAAGTCTCAGGTCGGCTAAAGACAAAAGAGACCCATTATCAGCAGCAGGGGTATATTGCATTCCGTGCACTTGAGGAAAGGTATATATCGGAACCACCAAACGATCCATGGGAACAAGACTAAAAGAGCATAAAAGGAACTGCAGACTAGGCCAAACAGACAAGCACTGTGGCAGAACACGCACTGAGTGAAGGAGACCACAGAATTTTGTTTGAGAACACAGAACTAATTGCCCCCATCCAGGGATACCATAGCCGACTGGTACGGGAGGCAATGGAGATCCACAAACACACGGACAATTTTAACAGAAAAGAAGAAGCGGTGAACCTCAATCAAATATAGAACCCCATTTTAAGAAATTCGAGAATAACGAACAGGACAACAGGCAGCAAGATTGTTAAAGTTCCAGGTTCAAGTGAAGGTACGAATACAGGTACAAATTCAGGTACAAATACAGGTACAAATACAACTGATTACCTGATAAGGCATGAATACGCTTTACGAAGTCAAAAAGGTAGTCATCGGACAGCAAGCAATGATGGTTAAACCTCTGAAGAAGCTAGCCACTCGCGCCAGCGAAACGTCAGGAAGAAATTCCAAAAATCCACGGCTTTCAAACTCGAAAAGCAACNGGTAAAAACATAGATAGAAAGTTTCATTTCTCATTTTTTATGATGATTTCCTACCACGTAGTAACGGTTACATCCATCATTTTTTTTTATTTGAAATAATTTTGAGATAGAGAAAAAGTAAGTGAATCTAGTATTTCCCGTTTAACCACAAGATAAATATGGTTTCTGTGATGGAATTGGACGATACTTAGTGGAAATCCATAACGTGTGTTCATACTGAATGAACAGAACATGTTTGGGGACGCTACCGCATAGTGAAGCATATGTTGGTGTTGTAAACTGTTCGGTGAAAATATCACAATAAAGTGTTACTTAAATACCATGGTCTCTGTCTAAGAGATATATGTATCTCTGGTTACAATTGAGGTTTCATTATATAAAATTCCAAAACCTGGACACAGACTTTCGGAATAAAGTTAAAGTGGGATAATTCATGAAAATTTCTGATACAAGATCTGCAAGAAACGGAAAATTTTTGGTAGAGCGTATATTTCAGGACCTGTAAAATCCTGTTCAAAGCGGGTTTATCAAATTTTGACACTTTTTGAGTGTGTTTTCCACTTCTGAAACCATCTTAGACGAAGGATTTCTTGGTAATTTATTATATGTAGAGATCCTTCTCAATCAAATTGTCAATTCTCTCTCAAAGTGATCTGACTTGTCCAATATCGAAACCTTGTTGCCTTTATCTGATTTGAGATAGAAAATATCTTTCTCCTTCATTGTTTCAATGATTTTTGTTTCTTTCTTTTGCACATTATCATCAGTCTTTCTTGAAGAGTTATTGGATTTTCTTTGCAAGCCTCCCGAAAAAACCCTTTCGATGTACCAATGATTACAACATCTACAAGACTTCTCTCGGGGAAGAGACACCAACACCAAATCGTTATTTTTGAAACCTCGACACGTGTTTCCATCACCAAGTGATCATCTTCAAAGAAGAAGATTAAAACTGATTAATCTTCCTCTTGAAGATGATCACTTGGTGATCGAAACACGTGTCGAAGTGTTAAAAATAACGATTTGGTGTTGGGAAAAATCTCCAGTAATATTCATTACTACACCAAAGATTCCAAACAGTGCATCATAGGCGTAAAAATAATTTTCCAAAATTTGATAAGAAGGTAAAAGAGCTAATTGAAGAAGAAGTATCTAATATTACCGACTATATGGAGATTGGACACTTCCATATTAATGGTGGAAATAAATTCATTATTGATTTAAATGACGACAGTGATAGTGAAACAGAGAATATGAAGAGGAATTATCAGAAGCTTTCGAAAACAGTTAGTGAAGTATTTTTGAAGCTATACAGGCTGATTCACGGTGGATGGCACATTAGACGTTTCTGGTGAACCAGACAACGGATCACTTTGAAAATTTAATG